GTGTCGACGCATGGTATGGAGGCGAACAGCTGCGGTGTCGCACGATGGATGATCTACTCGGCGACCAGCCGGTGCCAGGACTGATGCCACGTGACCTGGAGGCGCAGCTACAACTCGAGTGTGAGGACGACGAACCACGGTCCTTTGCAGAGGCCGAGAGAGATGCGGCATGGCGCGCCGGATGCAGTTGGAGATGGATGCGGTCGAGCAAAACCGCACCTGGGAGCTCGCTGACCTCCCTCGTGGTCACCACACAATCACCCTTAAGTGGGTGTTCAAGCTGAAGAGGGATGGAGCCGGCGCCATCATCAAGCACAAGGCTCGCCTGGTGGCCCAAGGTTTCTTGCAGCAGGAAGGGGTCGACTTCGACGACGCCTTCGCTCCCGTGGCACAGATGGAGTCTGTACGACTTCTCCTTGCGCTGGCTGCCCAGGAGAGCTGGCGTGTCCATCACATGGATGTCAAGTCGGCATTCCTCAACAGCGACTTGAAGGAGGAAGTCTACGTGCATCAGCCACCGGGATTTGCGATTCCCGGCCAGGAGGGCAAGGTACTCTGCTTGCGCAAGGCTCTCTATGGCCTACGACAGGCACCTAGGGCATGGAACACCAAGCTGGACTCCACGCTAAAGAAGATGGGCTTCGAGCAAAGCCCGCATGAGGCTGTTGTCTACCGACGGGGCAGTGGAGGAAATGCCCTGCTGGTGGGCGTCTATGTTGACGACTTGGTGATCACCAGCACCAAAGATGCAGAGATGGCGGCGTTCAAGGAAGACATGAAGGCCACCTTCCAGATGAGTGATCTGGGGCTCCTCTCCTTCTATCTAGGGATTGAGGTGCACCAGGACCACTCCGGGATCGCGCTTCGACAGTCCGCTTATGCCAAGCGCATCATTGAGCTAGCTGGGCTCACCGACTGCCCCCCAGCTCTCACTCCGATGGAGGAGAGGCTGAAACTGAGCCACGACAGCATGATGGAGGAAGTGAATGCTACGCAGTACCGACGCCTTGTGGGGAGCCTTCGCTACCTCACCCACACACGACCGGACTTGGTATTCTCCGTCGGCTATGTCAGCCGGTTCATGGAGCGACCGACGTCGGAACACCAGCAAGCAGTGAAGAGGATCGTCCGCTATGTAGCAGGGACACTCGACCACGGCCTCCACTACCCTAGGTGTCCGGGGGCGGCACACTTCGTCGGGTACAGCGACAGCGACCACGCCGACGACATCGACACCGGCAAGATCACGAGCGGGATCCTCTTCTTCCTCGGCAAGTGTCTTGTGAGCTGGAAATCAGTCAAGCAGCAGGTGGTGGCCCTGTCCAGCTGTGAGGCTGAGTACATAGCAGCCTCCACCACCTGCACTCAGGCGCTCTGGCTCGCTCGACTGCTTGGTGATCTTCTCGTTCAAGACACCAGAACGGTGCAGCTCCTGGTGGACAGCAAGTCCGCCCTGGCCCTGGCAAAGAACCCCGTGTTCCACGAACGGAGCAAGCACATCCGACTGAGGTATCACTTCATTCGCAGCTGTGTGGAAGAAGGGAGCATCGAGGCGAGCTACATCAACACCACGGATCAGCTCGCAGACCTGCTCACCAAGCCTCTTGGGAGGGTCAAGTTCCTCGAGCTGCTCCAGGATCGGGATGATTCAACTCTCCCACAAGACAACGTACAAGACTTAGGGGGAGAATGATGGATAAGTCTATGTACTAGGGTCGTTGTGGGGCTGCAGCACATGGTCCTTGTGGCAGTTAGGATAGAGTTCCTGACCATCAAGGACTGGCAGTTAGGATAGCATCTTAGACTAGCATCTTAGACTGCCATCTTAACAGCATCTCAACATATGCTTGCCTGGCTAGCAGCCTATAAGTATGTATCCCCAACCCCTCAGGTTGGCATGGCATTGTGTGAGAAATAAACCAACGAAAATTGTCCCAACTCTCCTAGTGTCATCCACAACTATCAATGCTCAGGCTCAAAGGTCTAACATCTCGGCGGGGTCTGGGGCGGCGACTTTGTTGTGGTTTGACCGGTGGGATGGAGACACCCCCTTTGTTGCGCGCTTCCTCGACCTCTTCTCCATCGATGTAGACCCTACGATCTTAGTTGAGAGGGCCCTTATTGACTTAGGGCGCCCAGCATTTCAGAGGCCATTTGGGCCCCCGGATTTCGTCGCGTGGCATGAATTACTTGATTGCATCGCTCTCCACGAGTCGGTGGTGGACGATGGCCCGGATCAAGTGCGATGGCGCCTCGAGCCATCAGGCCAATTCTCCACCAAGTCTCTCTACCAGGCCATCACCCCCTCCTACGCCCCTCCCCCCTTACGGCGGTGTGGTCCATCCACTTGCCTCTGAAAATCCGGATCTTCATGTGGCAATGGATCCGCGGTTGGATCCCGTCTGGGGTCAAGGTTCGCAAGCGCATTGGCCCGGGCACTGGCCTATGCCCGCTTTGTGGTGTCCCCGAAGACTCGAATCACATCTTCTTCTCCTGTGTGTCCGCTCAATTCGTGTGGAGCTTCTTTCGAGAAGCGGTGGGTGGAAATTGGTGTCACACTAACTTCCCCGACCTATTTAGCGAACTCCAGAACTCCCCCTGCCTTCTCACCACATTAGGTGGCTTGAGATTGGGGCCATCGCTTGGACCCTCTGGACGATCCGCAATAAGCTTGTGATCCAGCGCACTCCTCTTCGACGGGCTACTAACGCTATCTTCAAATTGTCTGGTTTCTTGCAGCTTTGGCGGCCGCTTAGCCGCCCTCAGGACCGCGACGCCATCTCCGCCTTCATCGCCGACCTCCGCTCGATGGTCGTCTGGCTGTCGCCGCCGCCTCCGCCGAAGCCTGACTAGGTGCTTGTCTTGCTCTCCGGCGCTTTTCTTTCCTTTTGTTTGGGCTTGTTGAGTTGTGCCCTCAGCAGAACCTATTGTACTTCTTTGTGAGACTTGGGTGTGTGTGTTTGGACTAGTCCTTATATGTGTGCTCTCTGGCGGTTTGCTTTATTTATAAAGCGGGGTGAAAGCCTTTTTCGACAAGTCATGCATTTTTTTGAACCGTGAAGTCATGCATCAAAACGAAGTTCTCGATTCTGGACAGCCTAACTAATGCTTTGTAACATTATACCTTAGTTACTATTTTGTTGTGTATTCAATGCTTCCTAGATGGATCATTTTGATCAATGCAATTTAGATTCGACTCATTAGGCTTGTGATACTTTGTGATTATGGTGAATACAATGTATGTACTTTGGTCATGTGTGGTTGTGTAACTACGAGATGTATTTGAAATGCTAATATTCTAAGATAATTTTAATACCGTCGATTATTATGAAACCCAATATCAAGCAATAACAGTCGACGAGTAAATACCAGTTGGTGGCCAAAACATGCCCAACGGCTCACGGTCGGCTTATTACCCGATCGTATCATTTGCTAAAATGCACGGAAGTTAGTAAGAACCAGAGAAAGAGAGAAAGTAAAATCTTTCCCTAAAGCACGGATTGACTTCGTGCGTTCACCGTCACAATACGCTTCTTCCCGTAAATTTACGCTTTTAGTTTATTTTTCTTCAACATGTCTATATTTATTTTCTATATCCAAGGTGGTATTATTTTTGAATAGGTGCTTACTGCAACTATCACACTCGATTGGTTAGCTTGCTGCTGCTATTACTTCAGATTTGTTGATATTGCTATTTATTTCATGTACTACTTTTAAATTTTAGAATGTACCAATAGTCATCTAAAGAATGAATTAACAATAAAGTTATGCTCTTCAGTCAAATCAATTTACTGGGAATCATACCCATGCATATCCTGATCAACGATCCATTCATTGTCTTATGGCATAGTTGCTCGACCTGGCCCATTTATAGGAACCGTTGTTTTTTTTCCGTTGCAACGCACGGGCATTTACACTAGTAAAACTAAACCAAATCAGATCGGGTGGGCATCACGCATAGGGGTCGTGAGAGAGAGTCATTCCCTTTTTCTCCCGACGAAAAAAGAAAGTCTTTGGTTTTGGCGCTGATTGTTTATTTATTTACTATTTAAAGCGCAGATTTTTTTTTCCATTCAAATTTCACCTAGATTTTATACAATTTTGCTCCAAATTTGAAAAAAGAATAGTTGTCTTTGCTCTAAAAACAGAAACAAGACTTCTATGGATTTGACCTTTTTTTCTAAGATGAAATCCAACACCCTACTCTCATCGGCCGAACCGGTGGCGCCAACTTTCTGTTTTGCAAACTTTTTGACCAAACCTCCCGCTTATACAAGACGGGTCTACAAGTCTATGACCGAACTGATACAATGCCAGCCTAGGGCCGTAGAGTCCCATCCCATCCCATCAGAGCAGCAGAGGCAGAGAATGAGAGGGCAAATCAGGGCATCCTACAGGCCTTCCGTTCGGTGGCTCCACTTGCTTCTTCTCTCCCTCCTCCGCCTTCCCGTGGTATCCATTCCTGGTTCTTCAAGTTCCAGCAACACTTCATCGTTGTGAGCATTGAGTACTCCCTTCCAGCCTGCACTGCAGTGAGTCCTTCGCTGTTGTTTGCTGTATAGCATTTTGTGTATCTCTTTTCCTGTGCATTCTGCTTCTTTTCCTCCAGTCCTTTTGTTGGGTTTTGCAAGATTTGCTGCCGCTTAGACAAAGGAAACTTTTAGAAATTCCCACAGTGAGAAGCTATACAGCTTTCATTCTTGTTGGAGACCAGTTAACTTGATGGGTGCGTGCAGGGGCTGAGCATTTAGGCGCTTGCAATCTGCTTGAGCTGTAGCTGGTCCTTCCCGCCAGAAACTCTCTGTACTCTCTGTACTCTGTTTCTTGATTCTATCTTGATATACCGCAAGCAGTCCTCATGCATGATTCGGAAAAAGAAAAATTGATGAGTAGTGGCAGCCTAATACAAAGTGCTGCAGAGGATAGCAAGATTTTCTCTCGCTGCCAGTGCCAGTCATTATCTATGTTTTTCTGCTTACAGGACATTAGTAGGCGGCGAGATGAGAAAGTCCTGCGAGTGCTGCAAGAGATACTGGACTCATTTGCATGGAAAGGTCAAGTGTTTCTTCACCCACATGGACAGAAACTCTAGCCATAGCATGGTAAGCTCAGTGGTGTGTTGCCTTGATAAGTAACTGAATCAGTAGCAATAAGACAATTTTTCAACTAATACTCGTATTTTTATTCACATTTTTGTAGGTCATACCAGAGAGCTTTGTGAACTATTTTGGGTGGAAGCTATCAGGAACCATTGAACTAGAAGCCCCCAATGGTAATGTGTACGATGTCGGAATTACTGAGCGTAGGAACAAAACAGTACTCCGATCTGGGTGGGAGGCGTTTGTGGACGCGAATCATATAGTAGAAAGAGACTCGCTGATGTTCCGATACCATGGAAATTGTCGCTTCAAGGTTGTGGTCTTTGGTGCTAGTGGTTGTGAGAAAGTGGTGTCATGTTCTGCTCGCACACAGAGCAATATCAATGATCAAGAACCAAGCACAAATTCTACAGACATTTCAACCAGTTCCAGTGATGGTAATACTCATTCGTCAGCACGAGGACGATCGGATGATTGCCAGAGTGGAAGCTCAGGCCATTGTCGAAAACGAGCAAGGAAAGATGCAATACCTTCTCGGTCAGAGGATTTGTCAGGTTAACTTTAAAACTGGTTTATAACGTTTTATCCCATTATATGGTACTCCCATTTTACTCTTGAAACTATTTTACAGAAGACAGTCCATGTGAGCACGAGTCATCTGAATCGGAAGATACTAAACGTATTGGAATAACACCCGACCATGATGATACAGACCCATACATGATGTCACTGGGTGCCCGTCTATCCCAAATGCAGAGGAAGAAAGTTCTGAAGAAAGTTGGAGCCATTGCATCAGATCTGCACATCTACGTCGCAGTCATGACCACGACCAGTGTCCGTGCCGCCCTAGTAAGTCTTGTCTAGAGTAATATTCTTCTGATTTTCAGTTGACAGTTATTTGTTTTGAGAGAAATCAGTCCATATAAGCAACTATGTTGTTTCACCACAGTAGTTTCAGCAACAGTCCATAATTGCAAGTTTGCATTTTATTCTAATATGTTCAGTATTCTGCGTGTATATGAACAAACAGACCTTTGCCACACAATACTGTGACACGTACCTTCGGAAGGGGAGCCGGAGTTTGGTGTTTCAGGCAGAGGGGAAGAGCCAGCAATGGCATGGTGAGTTGCACGACACCAATCGTGCCCTGAGGATATTTGGAGGCTGGACTTCTTTTGCGAGAGACAATAACCTGCGGGAGGGGGACATCTGCCTCTTCGAGCTGATGAAAAACAAGGTGGAACTGAAGCAGAAGATGATGGTCTATATCATTCGCCGTGAGCGTTGCTAGTTTAGTTTCACGCTCTTGACAAGAGGAATAGAGGTCTCTCCTCTTTGTGCTGGCATTTTGTATGTTGCTGATGGTGGGGCTCTTTGCTGCTTTTGTGATCTGAAAGTAGAACTGTGGGCATGGCCAGCCATTCTCTGGAGTGAGTAAGAAACCTATATCTGTAGTAGCTTAGTTTCAAACAGACCGTGATTTCTTACTTCAGCGGCAGCCTTATTTTGTGGCATGAAGTTCAAACTAGTTGTGTTGACGATGTTTGTTTGAGGAAGCCACTTGATTGTTTGTATCCTCTGAAGTTTAATGAACTCGTGATTTTAGTTGACTTGTGTGCTTCCCTGGGGTTGATGCAAATTCATCGCATATCAGAATGTGCTCACTACGGTAAATCCAACCACAAAGAATGTCCAGGAATTAGTGAGACAACGTTCAAGATGGCGGGAAAATTCATTTGAACCGATGGATCTTGCCTTCACTAGCTTCTGTTTTTTTGGCCTAAACATATACAACATCAAAATCGGCTATGAGAGCTGTGCCATGATAGGATTATGAAACAATTGGTGTACCTGATGAATAAATATGTATTTCTGCTTTATACTTATTTAATCAGTTTCAACTATATTAGAATCAGACACCATTATTTTGAAATTTTAATATTCCCAATCTTAACGAGGCAAAAACAATTGAGCTATGTTGTCAGGTAGTACCCTTTCAGTTTTTTTTATGTCAATCATTAAATTTCCAAAAGTCTTGAATTCCTTTTTTTACCATTGAGTTGTTTGAATATTTTCAAGTTCCAATATACTTTATTCAGAATATCTCTCATTTTTTTATACTTCCATAGTTTAGAAAATTCCTGTTCAGAAAATTGCATTGTCTTCCCTTATCACTTTTCATGGTTTATTGTACTTTTTGCACGGTTTGTTTGTTTCTCGCAAAACAAAATCCACTTTGTTTCAACAGACGACGATCCAGTCGTGGTCCGTAGCGTCCCTCTCGCGTGGCCCCCCTCGTGGTCGACACGAGAGGCGTCAACCCTAGCTGCCAGCCGTCCTGACTCCTCCCCGCCTCCCCCTTCGTCGCCGTTGGGGGACAGCGCCGGTCAGAGCCCTTGTGCTCGATGGCAGCGGCGGAGGGCTGCTCCTCCTTCTCGGGTTGTACGCCAGCGAGGGTGCTGCCTCTTCCTCGATTCATAGCGGCGCGGCGGCTCCCGACGGAAGCGCTTATGGTGGTGCGGGTGGAGATCGACCAGAGGATGGATGTGGGGTTGGGCGTGGCCGGTGGCGGTGGCGGCATCCGACCCGGATCCGATCTTGGCGGTGGCGGCGGCGACTCCGGCCCGGATCCGGCCATGGCGGTGGCGGCGTCCCCTCCGCTAGGGATGACGGGCCAGGTGGTGGGTCCTTGTGGCAGCGCAGGTGGCGATGGATCTTAGGATCCTGCTCCCGGGGACGTCACAGGACGCATGTGGCGGCCGGAGCTTCCTCCAGCATTGGCGACGCTTGATGCAGGATCGCGGCGGCAGTTACCGTTGTATGGGTGACGACAATAGAGGGCGGCGGTTGGTGCTCCCTGTAGTGCCCGGAATCAGGGCGGCAGCCCCTCTTCATCGACGGCGGCTGACTCCGAGGTCGTGTCGGCGGCTCGAAGTCTAGATATCGAGGTGGTGACCGCCTTTCTAAGGCTGGTGGCGGTACAGGACGTTCCCTCCATCAACAGATCGGATTCGATGTGACTCGGCAGGTGACACATTCGCCTCTTTCGGAGTTGTCGGGTAGTGCCTGCCACCGGCGGATGTTGCGCACAACGTCTTATGCGGAGACGTCAAGTCATGCTTGCTACAGCCAGGTGCTACACAGTAGCTCTGGCGGAGGTGCCATGTGCCCATGTTTAGCATGTTGCTGCTGGATCGAAGGTGGTGCGACAGTAGCGGGAGGTAGGCAATATGGGACATCTTTATCTTTCGTTGTCTTCTCCAGAGGTATCCGGCTATTGAGGCGTCGGTAGTAGGATAAGGGTGGATAGTACAAATGGCTTCAACGACAAATTTATGCACTCCGGTGGAAACACAAGATCCCTGATCGGGCTATGTCGATGCGCGCCTATGTCGTGTCCTTTCTGAAGGTGGTGGGTTGAAGCTTGGCTTTGAGGATGAGAATTCGGAGTTCCACCTTGTGGTGGACTCGCCATCATCGGCGCACGTGCGACGATTCCTTCTTGATGGCATAGCCCAGGGATCGTGTATTTTTTGTTTTTGATGTGTTTGTAACATAGGGTTAGTGGCTATCTGGTGGAGTACTGATGCGAGGCACACGGCCTTGGGTTTTTTCTGCTTTATTTGCGGGTCGATACTGTTCCGGACCAACACAATAGCCTTTTGTGACTATGTCCCTCCCCAAGGATTTGCACCGGTCACCTCACTTCACAGTATTGTCCCTGATTTAGGGTATTCCTTTCATGCCACCCTGTCGGTTTCACCCATCTTGCGTCGGTCATCGGAGCATATAGGATACCAACGGGTCCTAGATCAAGGCGACACAAAAGATTAATTGTGTCGGTCATCGGAGTAGTACCAACATATGTGGCTTGCCTTTCAAAAAAAACACATGTGGCTTGCAAGGTTACGCCTCCACCTTTACCCCAAACATACTACTCCTTTTCATAAGGGTCCATTGCGGAATGGTGAAAGTGCATCTAATCCCCATGGATTAATGTCCATGTATCTCAAGGGACTAATACTTTTACTATATTATCTCAGGAAACTTCCGTTAGGTTGCAACAAAGGAAATGAAAGGTGACCCATGAAATTATCATGAAGACAATTGTTGGCAAGGCCAAGGATTCTTCATTTTCATCTTAGTGATTCAAGGTCATGTTGAGTCTATAGACATGTCGATACTATCAAAAGGGAATGATGATGTTGTGCGAGTTTCTTTCTCTCGGTGTTTAAAGATCAAACTCCAAAAGCCCTCAAAAGCCTTCATTCTCAAAAGCCCTCAAAAGAACAATGAGCATGTTCATCAGGCAGAGGAGCAGAACAATCACAATCAAGTCAACCTAGACCTCAATCTTGTCAATGTCCCAGTTCATTTAGCACAAGGTTGTGGGGTGGTAACTATAGACAAGTAAGGGCCTCTTTGATTCATAGGATTGTAAAAACACATAAATAAATAAAAGTAGGATTGGAATGTCATGTCCATTGGATCCTTATAGGATTGAGTTTGTTTGATTATGTCACGAAAAAAAAACAAAGGATTTCTTCCAATAGGTTGGAGTGGTTGTTAAGGGCCTCTTTGATTCGTAGGATTTTAAACCGTAGGAATAGGAAAAGTGTAGGGTTGGAGTGGCATGCCGCATGCCCATTTGAATCCTATAGAATTAGCAATGATTGTTTGATGCCACGGAAAAAACAAAAAATTGTAAAACGAGGTTGGAGTGGATGTTAAATTTTCTATGATGGTACAAAAGATTCCATAGAAAAAATTTCTATGAGATCCAATCATATGAATCAAAGGACCAACATAGGAAAAAAAATCCTAAGAATTTCAATCCTTCAAAAATCCTATAAAATTTCTTTGAATCAAAGAAGCCCTAAAATTCCCGTGGAATGTAGTACAAATTAACGGAATTGATAATGGCCAAACGTCAGATTTCTGACGTCCCGCGCCAAATGACTGTTTCATCATCTGATCTGAGCACAAATCTTAAAGTGAAAGTCCACGGTCACGTCCACCGTTCGGTAAAAAGTTTTCTCATCCCGAACGAATCCCCCTGACCGCACTTCTCTCTTCCCCTCCCTCGCCTCGGCACCGACCACGGTCGCGTCTTCTCCAAGCACGGCGTCCATGGGCGACGGGACCCTCTTCCTCGTATTCTCCGTCTTATCGAACACCGGGGAACTCGGACGCTTCGCGTTCGCTCGGAGGCGACGACACCATCCTGCACCACGGCGTCCTCCACGGCCAAGTCTTCTCGTCCTAGCACGGCGACCAGGTGCTGCCCATGAGTGACGGGACCATCCTCATCGTCTTGTCCGGCCGCTCAAGCGCCCAGGAACTTGTCCGTTGCACATGACCTATCAGTTGAAGGACATGTTCAGTTTTAATGTCACTAGCTCAACACCGATGATGATTCACCTTGTTTAGCTTAATTTGTATGATGCATGTTTTGTATGATTCATTTTCTTAGTCATTCATGGATTGCAGAAACTTTTTTACTTTGATGTGATGCTAATTGACCAATTTTCCATGGCAATTTTTCGAAATTATAGTTGATGGCAAGTCAATATATGTTTTTGCCATGTAAACACAAAATATGTTGCCATGTTGCCTCAACTTTTGCTGCCATCCAAAATCTAAATTATTTCTTGCCATGGCAAGACATCATAATATATTGCTATGGAAACACAAAGTATGTTGCCATGTCGAAATCATGTTTTCATTGCCATGGCAAGAAAACGTAATATGTTTTGCCATATTTCTGAAGCTGCCAGTACTATTTTTCCATGGCAATTTATAGATGTTGTTCTCAATTAACCATGTAAATTCTTTTGGAAAAATGCCATGGCAATTTTCTGAAATTTGTGTTATCTAGAACATGCAGCCTGTTTGATTTTTGTGTTTTTTGTATTATTTCAGCAATCACAATTTGGAAAACAAGTTTGTTCTACAACGTGGAAAGAGTGTATGTCAGTAGGTTTCCAATCAGCTCATCTTTTTTTGAGATAAAGCTCATCTTTTCTTGTGCTTGTATGCATGACAGGAGCTTCTTCAACCAAACAAGTTTGTTGTGCTCAATATACTTGCATGAATTCGCATTCTTTTATGATACCATCTGTGCTTATTAAATAGTTTCACCATGGCAAAAAATAGAGTGAATTTTGCCATGGCAAATCAAAAGTAAAATTTGCCATGTGCATAAGATTATTTTTGCCATGGAATAATAGAGTAAACTTGGCCATGGCAAATTAAACTAAAACTTGCCATGTGAATAAAAGTTTTTTTTTG